CCGTCATACATTCCTTTGATGTTACCTGTGTCCGCTGCTAACTGTATATGAGAGCTGAGCTGGAGCCAATAGTCGTTGGAGCATCTCCTGGCAGCCTGTTGGACTTGGCTGCGAGCAGCTCGAATTCCTTCCTTCCTTCCTTCCTTCCTTCCTTCCTTCCTTCCTTCCTTCCTTCCTTCCTTCCTGCAGAGCCAGCTCTCCCAGGCCCTGAACGGACTCTCAGACAGAGCAAAAGAAGCCAAAGAGTTCCTGGTGCAGCTACGGAACATGGTGCAGCAGATTCAGGTATTGTGCTGAATTTCCTAACAAAAAAGAGCCAGAAGAGACAACATGGCAGGGATTTCGCCAGAGGTAGATGGGGAGCCCCGATCCCTAGTTATAATATTCCCCACATTAAAAGCAATACAAGAAAACAGACTCTGCTTCCCTCTAGTGGGCAGTTCTGATACTGTACCATTGCAAATATTTATTTAAAAAAACCAAACCATAAGACATTTCTCCTGCCACTTGGGATTGATTGCATCAAACCTGGAAAATCCCTCTCAAAATGCCCCTAAAATGTCTTAAACATGCCTTCAAAAGTAACATGTAAAAGTAATCAGAAGATGATACTTGTTACATCCAAGATTGAGCTTTGTAATTAGTTGTTCCTTTACTTTTAAAGAAACTTTATAATTACTTACTGCCTTATTTATTAACCAAAAGCAACTAGCTATAAGTTATTTCATCACTTATACATTACATTTACATAATTTCCTTAGTTACTTTCAAGCTTTGATCCAACCTTGGGCCTCCAGGTGTTCTTGGACTACAACTCCCAGAATCCTTCACCACCACCTCTACTGGCCAGGATTTCTGGGAGTTAAAGTCCAAGAACATCTGGAGACCCAAGGGTTGGGGATCACTGCTTTAAGCAGTACCGGGCAGTATATAAGCAGAACACTTTGCTTTGCTTTGAATTGCCACTATTTAAAAAGTCGCTGCTTGAAAGCCTCATCATGTCCCAGCCGTACGATTTGGCACTCAGCAAAGAATACGAGCGGCGACTCTTTAAGTTAGGGGCAATTCACTGCTGTAATTTTCACCACTCGACTTAATACCGGATGCAGGCTTCTGGTCATTATTATTGTTCTAATTGCTACTGCTGTGATCTTGTTCTATCGTTATTATGAAAAAGGAACACAGACACACCCACCCCGGACTGCTCCCTCCTCTGTACATAATTTGACATATTTCTTTGTTCCTCACCAACCTGTATCTTCTGTCTCAATTATGAAGCCCCCAATGCTTTTGTCCTTCCTTGTTTCTGACCCCACAAAGTGCAGAAAAGGAGGAAGAATATAGTAACCGAGAAAACATGTTCATATAATTAAAATCGAATGCCTTGCTGTGTCACACAATGAAATCGCTTTGAATGCATCCAGCTGAGCGGACATCCATTCTGCCCGATCTATATTTCTTCTGTTTACCCTTTGTCCTCTTTAGCACAAAGCTGGTAAGATAAGAAGAGTGTGGATCCTGGCCCAGACATGATGGGACTGCTCTTGCTGGCTGTGGATTCTGGATGTTGTAGTCCAGAAAAAAAACACTCTGCAACGTCCCCCCACCCCCGCACCGCCAGCTTCCCAAGCTGGGCCAATAACACCTTAGTCAATACGGCTGCCTGGGATGCCTCATCATGTCCCAGCCGTACGATTTGGCACTCAGCAAAGAATACGAGCGGCGACTCTTTAAGTTAGGGGCAATTCACTGCTGTAATTTTCACCACTCGACTTAATACCGGATGCAGGCTTCTGGTCATTATTATTGTTCTAATTGCTACTGCTGTGATCTTGTTCTATCGTTATTATGAAAAAGGAACACAGACACACCCACCCCGGACTGCTCCCTCCTCTGTACATAATTTGACATATTTCTTTGTTCCTCACCAACCTGTATCTTCTGTCTCAATTATGAAGCCCCCAATGCTTTTGTCCTTCCTTGTTTCTGACCCCACAAAGTGCAGAAAAGGAGGAAGAATATAGGAACTGAGAAAACATGTTCAAATAATTAAACTCGAATGCCTTGATGTGTCACACAATGAAATCACTTTGAATGCATCCAGCTGAGCGGACATCCATTCTGCCCGATCTATATTTCTTCTGTTTACCCTTTGTCCTCTTTAGCACAAAGCTGGTAAGATAAGAAGAGGGTGGATGCTGGCCCAGACATGATGGGACTGCTCTTGCTGGCTGTGGATTCTGGATGTTGTAGTCCAGAAAAAAAACACTCTGCAAAATATCCATTTATTGAGATGGCCTGTTATGGAGTCTGGCATGGGGGGAGGAGGAATCGGTGGGTGGGAAGGCCTTGGGGCAAATCCATCACGCCTCTCGCAAAGATCCAGCCTATGCAGGATGATTGCCTGCTTCGCTGCTTCCCCGCGTCCCCCCACCCCCACACCGACGGCTTCCCAAGCTGGGCCGATAACACCTTAGTCAATACGGCTGCCTGGGTTAATGCTTAGCTGCCCCAGAGCAAAATCACCCTTTCAGGCGGGATTGATTAAAAGTGTGGTTCTGCCCCCACCACGCATGGTTTGCTCTGCTCTTCAGTCACTCTGCTTCTTAATGCTTCCCGCCCCGCGCTCCCCCCCCATCTCTCTCTCAGGGTGTGAGGGAGCATCGTCCATCATGTCTGGCAAAGCATCTCTGCAGCTGCCCAAATGAAACCCCCTTTTTCCTCCTCTCCCCTTCTGTGTTGCACGGATGTTTCGCTTCTTGATTCACTTCTTTGGAAACCCAGTTCCCCCACGGGCTGCCTCGCCCCACCCTGGAGGGGCTTGATGGATCCCCTCTGGGGACCCCAGTTTGGGGGATGGAGGCGGACAGGAGCTCCAATGAAGAGTTTTGCATCTCCAGGATGGCCTTTGAAAGGGAAGCCTTGCAAGGATTCTGCTTGGAAAGGACTCCATTATTCCCCCCCCCCCGGTGCTGCACGGGGGGGCCTGAACTGGGCCCAGAAGCCGGGAGGCAGAGCCCTCCGCCTGCTGAAGCGCATGGGCTTCGATGCCCGTCTCCTGTCAATCCACCAGCGCCTTTTCCCAACCTTCTTGGTGAGGGTGATGCCAGACACAGAGACATTGTTTGTAAACAGTTTAGATGATGAAAAAATGACACAAGAGGTGACCTGGTGGCCTTCAGATTCCCACCTGATTTTGCAACCCAAATGACTCACATGGTGACTGTCATCATCTTCTCACTGTACTTATAACAAACATTAAAAAAATAATCATAATCATAATCATAATATTGTTGTTGTTGTTTTGTTATTGTTGTTATTGTTATTAAAAATCTTTTAATTAAAAGGACCCAAGGTGGCTGACATCATCAAAAGACAATTTTAAAGCTGACAACAGTGAATATACAAATACTAAAAAGGATCAGCCCAATACCAATACATAAGCAACACCAAACCACATTCAAAGCAGTAGGGGTAGAACGAAGGTTAAAAAACAAAATAGAAATTAAAAAGTAAAGAAAGGCGAAAACTTGGTGGCACCTTAACTTTTATATTTTTCAATGGAAAAATTTTGTGGACTCGTAAAGACCCCCCCCCCCCCTCAGGCAGCCAGTTAGTCACTCAGGGAAAGCTTGCTTGAAGAGAGTCTTTGCCTGCTTTCGAAAGGGCAGCAAAGATGGGACCAGCCAGGCCTCCAGTGGGAGGGAGTTCCACAGTCTAAAGGAGCAGCCAAAAGAGAAGGGTTTCTCCAAACACACTTGTTTGATTTCTGTGTGTAATATTTGCCGAGGCAAATTGTCACTAGTGAATGAGTCTCTGCCTGTATATTTTTATTCGTTAGTTTAGTCGTGTTATTTAGGCTGGAGAGCTCAGCGATTTAAGTATCTGAGTGTGGAGCCAGGGGTTGGGAGTTCGAATCCCCACTGGGCCTCCTGGGAGAAGAGCCAGCCTGGGTGGCCTTGGGCAAGCTGCAGGGTGCCCCTAGAGGGAGGAAAGGGTAGTACACCTCAGAGTACTCTCTAGTTGGAGGACCCTGAAAAAAGGGTCATCCTCTTCATTGCCTAAGTAACAGGAACCTAATGTGGTGTATTGGTTAGAATGATGAACTCAGGGGCTCTGGGTTCAAATCCAGCCATAGAAACTACACTGAGGGAATTGGAACAGGGAACTTCTCTCCTCAGGTAACTCTCTTTACTTCGAATGTCTTGTTGGGTTGCTTTGTATCTTTGGAGATTGGCAGCCACCAGGAAGAGGGAACCTAAAAGTAATCCCCCAAGCAATTAGGGAGGGGCGTTTTTTATTTTATTTCTCAGACTACAAATCCCACAATTCCCAATTCTGAGGGTTCTGCCTCATCTACAGACACCAACTTGCAGCTCACCTGGAAGGCTTTCAGGCTGAGCTAGGCCTAGCCTCTCCTAGTTTCCTGTTCAGGAAAAAAAACTCCCAGCAAGCACTGGGGCAGGAACAGGAAGCTTGGGTGGATCTAGGCCTAGGTAAGTCTCCAAGTCTGCCCATTTCTCCCAGGCGAGCCACACTGAGATGTCTGTACGGTGTGTGCGAGTCAAGGAATGAATGGGCTTTGTAGTTCAAGAAACCGACTCGTCCCAACCCTGCAAGCCGGTTTATGTCCAACATTTTATATTTGATTTAGGCAGTTCCGTTCATTGATGTTGGCTTAGGATCAGGCTGGGGGAGGCACCACGCACCCCCAAATTTGAGGGTTCAGTGGCCCCTCTTGTTTGGACGACAAGCCGCTGCAGGCAGAACCCAGGGCTCATGTGGATGGGATTTGCAGAAATCAATAGTGCTTCCTCTTTCTAATGACCCTTTTAACATACAGGAGAACAGTGTCGAGTTCGAAGCCTGCCTGGTGGCGCAGTGCGACGCCCTCATCGATGCCCTCAACCGGAGGAAAGCCCAGCTGTTGTCCCGGGTCAATAAGGAACACGAGCACAAGCTGAAGGTCAGTCTGCTGGCTGGGGGATAATGGGTCTTGTAGTCTGACTCAGCTGCAGGGCACCACATTGGGGAAAGCTGAGGTAGCATCCAGGAGTAGTCCAGGCCAAGAAAGAGCGGGTGGCTGGATGGAGCGTGTCCTTCAGAAAGACGCATGCTACCGTTTCCTTCGTTTACGCTCCGCTTATTTAATTCTTCATCCGTTGTTGTTTAGTTCATTTGTTCACGTCCTTTGCAATAACAAAAGCTCTCCGGATGGTTTTCAACCAGGAGTCGTTTGAAACAGTTATAAAACACCTGTAAAGCCACTTAAGCGCTTTAAACACTTCGAAACCTACATAATCGTGGAAACCATGTTGTGTGTAGGAGAAAGAACTGGTGGTAGCTCAGTCGGTAGGAGCCTTGGCTTGTGGAAGGAGAGGTCGGGAATTCGAATCCTCCCTGCATCTCCCGGGAAAGGGGCCAGCTGAGATCATCTTGAATTTGCCTAGCAGATGGAGTTACTTGCCTAACCCCCCACCCCCGGTGTGGTCTTAGGCAAGCGACGTGGTGGACATGGAGCGCCACCCGAAGGAGGGACTTGGAAATGACTTCTGATTATACCGGGAGAATCCGGGGAGAATCACCATAAGTTAGGACTGACTTGATGGTATATAGTTATTTTTATTCATAACTGAACTCCACAGTCTACTGACACCAGATCTTAAAAAACTCTCAAGGCTTTGATGAAGAATTCCTTCTTAGGTTGAGGCCAAGAAACATTGACGCTGATCAACCTCTACGAGATAGGGCAGTCCATAAGATGGACGGGAAGCATTTTAGTTCTTCAGGTGCATTCAGACTGCTACGCCCATCATCCTCAGCCGGAGGATCTTGCTGATGTTGATTTTATTTATTGATTTATTTGGTTTTTTAAACCCACCTTTCCCTTCTAGCTGGGAACCCCAGGTGGCACCTGAAACATTGATAATCAATAATTAATGAAAACAAACCCATTAAGATTTCAAACTCTCGTATACATATTGAAAACACTGCATTGAAATGATAATTTTTCAAAGACCTTCCCCCACTCGATTGCCTCCTGATGGGAATTGTAGTTCAGGAGCACCGGGAGGTCAAAAGGGGTAAGGAGACCGTATTTCGCATGATGGACCACGGTCTGGCTCACTCTAAAGGCGATTTCTGTTTTGTGGCTTTTGAGTGGTTTTTCTACCATAAAAAGCAGAAAAGCAGACACTCTTTTTGCTATGAGATCACTGGAATACAGGCTGTTTACAATTTCACATTGCTTGTAGGGAAGAGTCCTTAGCGGTGTGAAAATAACTGCGCACCCATGTGCTTGTGATTGTACGCATGGGTGTGACAATCAAGCTTAGCGGTGTGAAAATAACTGCGCACCCATGTGCTTGTGATTGTACGCATGGGTGTGACAACCAAGCTTAGCGGTGTGAAAATAACTGCGCACCCATGTGCTTGTGATTGTGCGCATGGGTGTGACAACCAAGCTGGAGGAACCTTGTAAACGGTCAAGATGGATATGCCGGACAGGCTTGGTGGCTGTGATGTCACCGGGTAGTGGATCCGCTCCTGTTTTTAGTCTGAGTGGGAAAGGAGCTGTTCAGAGTGCTGAACTAATTTGGGGAGAAGATTTGGTGTCTTGGGGAGCTGCTTCTGCAATGTTCGGCGCATGGGTGTGACAACCAAGCTGGAGGAACCTTGTAAACGGTCAAGATGGATATGCCGGACAGGCTTGGTGGCTGTGATGTCACCGGGTAGTGGATCCGCTCCTGTTTTTAGTCTGAGTGGGAAAGGAGCTGTTCAGAGTGCTGAACTAATTTGGGGAGAAGATTTGGTGTCTTGGGGAGCTGCTTCTGCAATGTTCGGATAAAAACCCAGGGCTGCAAGCCATCCATGACGCAAACACTTGTCGGCTCGGCTTTGGGGAGACGTTGGTGTCCCTCTTTTAAAATGTGGAAAGAGGTGCAAGGGAGATCCCCCTCTGGACCGACCTTCTGTAAATGCCTCTCTGGGTCGGACACTTCCACAGGATCACTTGGGTGGAAGATACGGTCCAGAGGGTCGTTCTCTCTCCCGGCGGCCCCGACGATTCTCTCTGAGCTCCCTCTCCAGTGCGTGCGAGAGAATCCGTGGCTGGCGAGCTGGGATGGATTTGGAGAAGGTTTCCTGGGTCACGTGAGGGAGGGGGCCCTGGAAATCACCATGGCAACAGTTGCCATAGAGACAGCAGCTGGATGGATGATGGAGGCTGGCTTGCCAGGGAACCAGAGGCAACTGAGGAGCCCAGAGGACTGACCTTGGAGGGGGGAGGGGGGTTTGTGCACGACACACGCATGGGGATGGGGGTGATTGTGCACAGGTTCTCCCGATGAAAGGCCGTGACTCCAGGGCAGGCGGTTTCTGGCTGGCTGGGCTGGAGAATGAGGGAAGGGAAGTGGGTGAGCGGAGCAAAGACGGGGGGGGGAGCTTTTGTGGCATCTCCCTGGGATGGGCAGGGCAAGGGGGCAGTGAGTCACTGCTCCTGACGGGGTCAGTGGGAGCCGGGGGTCTTTCCTGGTACCCTAAAACCCTCCATGGGGGGCTTCCTGTCCAATCAAGCCAAATGCATTTCCCCTGTTAAGAAGAATGTGGCTTAATTGAGAGGTTTTCCTGCCTCCTTTCTCTGCCTGCATGGAGACATCAGCCCACAGGGCTTAGACCCTCCTTCTCTCCTTCTTTGATGGTCCAAGCATCAAGATATTTTCAGAGCAAAACTTGAGTGGATTTTCCTCCCCTTCCACATCCCTCTTTAAAAGGAAACAGATAATGCTGGGAAAGGTGGGAGGCAACAGGAAAAGAGGAAGACTAAACATGAGATGGACTGACAACCTAAAAGAAGCCACAGATTTGAGTTTGCAAGAGCTGAGTCAGGCTGTTGGGGACAGGAGATTTTGGAAACGGCTCCTTCATAGGGTTGCCATAAGTCAGAGAAGACTTGATGGCACTTAACAACATCAGTTGAAACCAAATTAGATATGGGGAAAAAATTTCTTGGCCCTCCGATGCCAAGAGTCTTCCTGGCAGCCATGCTGTCTGGCTGATTCTGGGACTTGTAGTCCAAGGAAGGACCTTTTCCAAGATTCAGCTAAATGAATGAATGAATGAATGAATGAATGAATGAATGAATGAATGGGATAAAAATTCCTGGGTGCATTACAGAATAAACCAAAGCTCTTTGATGGAACAGGAATATGCCTGAACAAACGGATGGATTTGGATCTTGGACCAACCACACTGCATTCATCAGATCAAGTAGATCTTTACCCAGAGTTCAGGGGAAAAAATTGGTTTTGGATTACAACTTCCAGAATCCCCGTAGCCAGCAAGCAGCCTGCCTTTCTGGGAATGCACAGCCAGAGAAGACTTGAACCAGCATAACGCAGCGCCTTCAGATCATATGGGTCAGATATCCCGAGGAGAAAGCCGGTGGTTGGTCTCAAATGCCCTTGGAGGAAAAAAAAAAAAAAAACACAGAATCAACAGGGACGTCCTTTCCCTTTCCCCCCTACCACAGTCCTGTGTGTTATGTGGCCTCGGGTTTCACCAGGTATTGTCAACCCTTCCTTGGGGTCTGCTATTCAGAAGCCTTGAGGACTAGAGCCTTAACACATTCTTTCTACAAAAAGAAAAGTAAGTGATAGCCGTGGTTCTCAAGATGGTGATTTCTGCCCTTCCCAGTCTTGTCAGGTTTAGCGCTCGGGCCTTATGTCATGGCAGGCCCACCGGCAACTCCTTGTTGGGTTGAGGAAGGCGGTGCCCCGCTCGTCCTGATTATATCAGAAAGACGGGTGGGGCTACGGTGAGGGCAGGACGTGGCGTCTAGGAAGGAGGCAGCCCATGGCTTTGCAAAGCTCATAATGAGCTTTGGGCTCTCTTAAAGGAGTTGGGTGTAGCTTGATGTGCCTTCAGCCCTTAGTTGCTCAACAGCCACCTCTGGATAATGAGCCCATCTGGTCACCCTTCTCTTTGGCCTGCTTTGGATGATTGCTTAGCCCAGAAGATGCTGAGAAGATGCTTCCAGTTCAGGCACAAGCCTGGCCAAACTCTGTGCAGCGTTGAGGTGGAAGACAGAGTCCAACAAGTTCCCAGAGCATGTTTCCTGAAATCACTAAATGAATCGGTAAAATCCCGAGCGAAACCAGAATTTGCAAAGTTACATTTTAGAAGGAACTTCTTGGCTTATTCATTACTTCTTGTCAGCCAGGTTGCTGTTGTTGCTATTGTTGCACTGCTTGTGCAAGCAATCTGTTCACTAGTATCTTCATGTAGCTTGCCACCGTGGGAATGATGTCACCATCAACTGCAGATAGACACTACTGTAATTAAACAGTTTTTGTTTTCATTTCAGGGTGCATGCAGCTTGCATGCACTGTAATGTGTCATTCCTGCTGCAGAGGTGATGCTCCGCGAGTGGCTACTTGCCCTTGTGTTCCATGGTGTACCATATTCTATTCTAGTTACTAACCCACGAGAAAAATACTCATTGGTTCCTCCTAGTGGTCTATTCTGTTATTGCACCAAGGAAACCTTTAAAAAGTAAAACTTGAAAGTACTTAGGTGTTGCTTGCCATGCCTAAGTAACTTAGCTGTTGCATATTTTTCACCTAAAAAGCAACTTTCTGACAGCTATTTATAATGCTCATTAGCCAAAAGTAATTGATCAGAAATAGATTAGGCATCCTTCAGTCTTGAGAGACTATGGTATCATGCTCTGTATGGAGGACTTGGAACAGTGTCTAGTGTGGCTGAGAAGGCTAATTCGAGAGTGACCATCCCTTCCACACTGAACACAAATACAGCCTGTCCCCTGTCCAGCTCACTGGTTTCGCTGCTTCCGGGACTGCCTCTTTGCCTCGGCCTGCTGGACAAGGGTCTCTTCAAATTGGGAGAGGCCGTGATGCACTGCCTGCCTCCAGGCTGAACGTTCAGAGGTCCAGGTTCCCCCTCTAT